CATTTCTTGTTTGAACTTTAAACCCTTTATAGTTTTAATTTTAAACATAAATACTCAGTGGTCAAATGGTGAAAAAGTAACAACCATTGTTTATTTACTTTTTAATAGGAATAAACCAATACTACCTTAAATCCGATGGGGCTACAGGTGATGTAATTTTTATTACATTTTTAGAGTTGCCAGACAAACATAAAACAAAAAAAATCAAAAATATTCAAATTTATAATTTTTACTTATATTTCAGCTGTTTTTACAAAAATTAATGAAAAGGCATATCTTTTTTTAAAATTTAAAAGTTCGAACTATTAAGTGAAAAAAATTTGAACTATTAAGAGAAAAGAGTTCGAACTTGAACATTGAAATTTTTGGGTAAAGTTCAAACATTCAAACTTGAACATGTTCGAGCTAGCAGCCCTAGTTTCTATCAAAATCCAAGAAAAAACTATTTTTCAGCTACTTTATTGTGTAAAAAATGATCTGGACTATTTAAAATTAAGTTTTTTTATTTTTTATTTTCATTAATAACCCAAATCAGACTCATACAAAGAATAATACAATGTCATCTTAAACATTAGTTACCCAGAGATAATTTTAAAATAGAAAACTACCAAAAAACTTTATTGTAAATTTATTTTTTCTATTTTTACATTAGATTATTTATTCACATCAAATTATTAAAGCAATTTTTTATATCAATAAAATAAAGAATAGAACATAACTTTTAAATAAAAAGGGTTACATTTTTCTATATTCTTTACATCAAAATTCTTTAATTCTTCGAAGTTACAAATTTTGTTCTTTAATTTCAATGAAGTTACAAATTTTGACTAGTTTTCCACTATCAACTTTTAGAGATGCCTTGAGCAATATCCAATTACACAATTTTTTAGATTTTTTCTGTATTCTGGATGACCCAAATTTTGTTTGTAAGCACTTCTTTCCCATAGCCAGCTGAAATCTGAATGAGCTGATTCGAATGCTTGCTCACTCACTTTCGTAGAGTTAGAGAAAGTCTTTGCTGGGTAATATCATGCTATTCAAACTGATTGTCAATAAACTCAGATATGTGCTTGATGATAGCATGAACTTTAGGTGTCATTGAAATTCCAAGGCTTTATATGCTCTCTCAAAATGAAGTATAGAATCTCTATTAGGACATTCCCAAAGCATATCTGTCTGTCTGCATTGAATGTTTTAAATGCAGAAAGAAGTTTTTCTCCTTTTTTTTCAACTTTGGCATTTGCAAGTAATTCTACTGGTACCCCAACATTGTTTAGGAGATGCCTACATATCAAAAAATTTTGTTTCATTTGGAAGATCAAGTAGAGAGAGGTTGATGCAACCTTTGCAGCTTGCTGAAGAGAGCGTTGATTTTTTTGAACAAACACTGAGATCTTTCTGGTAGTTATTGACATTGGATCTAATCCTCCCAAGTGTTCTTAATTGCCCTGCCATCTCTTGGTTTCCAAAATCTTTCTTTGAAGTTTCACACCGAGGGCAGGGATAGGTGCATGCAGCTGAGCATAATCCAAAAAAAAGCATTTGCAAGTTTTATGTCCACAGCTGTCGTAAAAGCACCACTTTCAGAAAAAACAATTCTAAAATTTGCTTCAAGTTCTCATAAGATTCTTTCAAAGACTCAACAGTTTCCAAGATCATGAGTTTCTTCATTCCTGAAACACAAAAGGCTTGAGAAGATGCACTTTTTGAATAGAAAAACTTATTATTTTTTTGTTCTTTTTGGCTATCCAATATTTTCATACAAACCTTGAAAAACCCCCACCTCCATCAATGCCTACTTTGATCATATAATTATCGGGTGGAAGGTCTTGATGGTTAAGGATGTGGTTAACCAAACCAAAAATGTCATTACAAAAGAACGTTTTCACTTTGTTCATCACCATTGGAAACATCAAAGTTCATTATTGTAGAATTGTAAAATAAATCAAGTGCTTTGTCTCGTTGACATAATTTTTTAACAAATCTGATTCAATTGATTTGCTACCACTCTAAGTTCTGAAAAAAGTAGCTGCTTTGTGAGTTTGTTTCAATGAGAGACCTAAAGTAGATTATGATCTACTAATTTCCTCAGCAGACACAGGATTTAAACAGAAACGAGCTCTTGATTTTTGAGAATTGACACTTTTTGTGACTGTTAAATCCCTCCTTTTTGATTCTAATATAGCAATCGAGTCTCCATCACCAGATGTTGCAAATTTTATTTTCATCACATCTGAAGCAATAAGTTGTGCTACACAGGGAATTCGGCCAATAACTGTCTGAAAATTTTACCTTGCATCTTGAACTGTACAAGAGTTTGAATGCGCTATTCCACGACCAATTGGCTGCCAACAGCGCTGGCACACTTTAACTGGATAACGAGGTGGTAAAAAATCTTCGGCTGCTACTGGAGGTCTTTCTACTCGGAAAAGAACAGACTTGGATTCTTGGCTCATTCCATTTGAATTAAAACAGTCAACTTCACAAATAAGGCAACAGCAGAAAGAAATTGATCTTGTCAGAGTCTAGAATAACTTTGGAAAAATTAAAAGGCCCAAGTAGATCATTATTTTTTCTCCCCTTTTTCAATCTTAAGAGGAGTTAGTCTACATCTAGCACATATAGCAGAAAGTAAATGCTCTTCATTGGGATCATAGTTTTCGATGAAGTATTTCTAAATTCTTAGAAATACCGAGTTTCTTCTAGCTGGCACCATAGCTGTTCCTTTTTGAAAGCAAATCAGACATACTTTAGCACAATTTTTTAGCGTGTGATTAAGTCTTGTCAGGCATTGTGACAATAGATTTGGACAACACATACTTCTGCGCTACTGCAAGTCTGCATTTTTACAGAAATGACAAATGTAAAATTATGAACATTAAAAAACACAAACGGTAATTTTTTTTATCATAAAACTATAAATTTTTATTAGTATTGATTTTCTCTTGACTGGAAGTCCAGAAAAATATTTTACTTTAAAGTTTTATCAATTTGGAGTCTTTGTTTTAAAAATAAAGAAAATAAATATTTTCTGTTTTTTTGGGTTTTTACCAAAACGTCGAAATGGCCATAACTTTCTAGGACGTTGCAAAATATTTTTAAAAATTTGTGAAAACCATCTCCATGCATATACCTAAGACCTAGTACAAAAATTTTCTGAGGAAATTTTTTTTAACCTTAATGATAATTCCATGCTTATGTGGATCGCAATACGCTTAATTCGAGCCTTGAAAAAGGTATTCATCAATCAAGTCTAATAGCCCAGAAGTTCAAAAAAGTATTAACAAATTGAGTCCAACAGTTCAAAAGTTAATTATTGTGTTGGATTTTAAAATGCTTTTTTTTCTTAAATTAGTATTGCCGTAACTTCTTAAACAGACAAAATTTTAAATTTAGTTTTTAACTTAAATCTGCATGAATTTCCGATTAGGAAAAAATAAGTCAAAATTTAATTTCAAAAAATTCAATATTTTTACAGTGTCTGCCATTTAACCCACTGCGCCACACACTGTAGAAACGATTAAGAAACAACTTTAATAACAAAAGCCATAGTGATTAGGATAAATAACAATCGATTAATCTGTTCCTCTGGGATTTCAAAAGAAGTGTGACCATTAGATTCAATAGATAAATTAGAGGTGAAGTTATTTGCAAATAATTTTACTTTATCTTTGGGAGAGGTAATAAGCTCAGGCCCATGTATGAGAGTTGGAAAGGTTTCACCTTGATTATATTTAAAAAAAAACTTTTGACTAACAAAGTAATAGCTAGAAACTTCGCATTCTTGACAAGAATAATAAAATGATAAGAAATTCGTGAATGTTATTTCTTCAACAGTCAGTATAATCTCATTATGTTTGCTGAGCAGACCAGAAAAATAGCTCACCAATGCTACTCATTTGAAGTAAGTATAAACTTCTATAATATAAACTGATTAAAAATGACAATTTTCATTTTTGTTAAACTTTACTGACCTGCATTTTTTTTTTAAATACCTAATTTTTTTCTAAAAGTTGCTCTATATTATTAGAATCTATATAATCTTTTTAAATGCAGGAAATCCAAACTAATTCTAGGTCAAATTTATATCTATAAAATACACTGTATTACTAATAAATCTTTTTTATATTATGTAAAAACTGATCTTTTTGATAATTAATGGATGTCAACGAATTATTCAATAAAAATATGCGGATTTAGATATACATAAAGTATCACTAAGAATGTCATAATGAAATAGCTAACTGCAAAAGCTTCAGAGTATACACCAACTGAAGATTTGGATTTGGGCAGGCAGTATATTATTATGAAGGATATATGATAGATGACAATTTAAGTATTATGTCATATAATTGATATATGACAGATGACAAATTAAATATGATGGCATGATAAACTTATAATAAAATTATAATTTTATAATTAAAATGGCACATTTTTTATCAAAAATTAATGAAATATTTTGAAATTAATGAAATATAGTATATATGATACAAGTATGTTTGAGTAAGACAACTCATACAAACATAAATGCACCAATAGGTAAAAACTTAAGTATGATGTCATCAATGACATTTTTTGTATAGATAATACGCATTTATTGATATTTAATAAATATAAAAATGTTTACAAAGGTATATGTATATACTTGCTTACTTTAATAGGAGTTCTAAAAAATACTTTGGTTTTGAAAGTGGCAAGTTAGCTATTTTTGGTGAGCTCAAAAAATATTGAAAGATTTATGGAATACTTAAAGGAGAAAAAATCGGAACATTTAGAAAACAGAAACTATCAATTGCTTGTTTCTATGAAAACTAGTAGATGCATGTTGTTTTAAAAAACATATTTAAATAGGAAAATGACATAAGTGAAACCCATCCAAACACACACACACAAAATATATAAATAACAATATATAAAATATTATTTCATATCATTTATAAAATTCACAAGAATATATTTTTTCGAATTCAAAAGCATACTAAAAACAAAATTATAACCTGTGTATTTTGCTGTCTTGAATTACTTCTTGTTGCTCAACAATTAGGTCATACAAAAGAGACACTGCTTTTACTCTTAGTGTTCCAGCATTGTGGTCTTTAGCTATATTTAGAATTAATTTTAGACCACCTAGCTCAATTAATTTTTCCAGAACATGACTGTTTCCACGTACAACCGCAGACAAAGCATATAGAGCCTTTTTTCGCGTCAATGGTTGATTATCATTAATCAAACGAAGAAGAAATACCAAACCACCATGATTGATTACTGCATTCTGTACCTCATTATTACTACAAAATAGTAAATATAATATTATAAATAAAAAAAAATTTGTTTCTCTATTGAGATTTAAAGTAATGTACTATTTAACGGTTTTGTCTCTATTTAAAAATTTAAAAAATTTAAAAATTTTAAAATTTAAAAAAATGCAATTTATAAGGTACTTGTCTCTCCATTAAAATTAAAAGAACATTATTCAAAAAAATTGTTTGGCTTTAATGTTAAAATACTTTAGCTTTTTAATAAAAAATTTAATATTTACAGTTATCCAAACTATTTTTGGGCATACCGATCATACCTCTGTGGACGCATTAAGGACCTTTTTTATTTTTTTAGTAAACAACTCAACAATTGATAGTGTCAACATATTTCAGGATCTCAATAGCAATCGGTGCAAAAAACATTAAAACGCTATTGAAAACAGTCAAATCTATATATCAAAAAACATTAAAGCACTATTGAAAAAAGTCAAATAAAAAAAAAAGCCTTTACACTCTATAAAAAAAAAACTTATGTAAGTATTTTTTAAGTAATGAAATACTTCGAACTGGAGTTTGAGCTAAAAATTTGGGCGCCCATACCGATATACTAGTATCAAAATTGGCCTGGATACATCACTGATTTATTTTTACTAATTTTAAAATAGAGATGCCATAAATAATGATTTTTACAATTTTAAAATAGAGTGCCAAATAATAAATACCAAATGTTTGTATATAAATATTTGTCTATTTTTAAGTATGGAATAAATGATTTAAGAAAAAAACCTGTTGAAAAAAAAAAAAAAAAATGTTTTTCTGATAGAAGAATTAGATGCGATTTCATTCAACGTTTCAAAATAAAAACAAAGCAAAAAATTAATTAGCCTTAATCAAAATTATTTAGGATTAATTAGCAAACTACCAACTAAAAAATTAACTAAAATCAAACCCAGACAAAGTTTTTAAAGCTGAAAAAAAATTTACTTTAAAAAATTCAGAGATTGTCTGGAAGTTTTTGGAACTTTGTAAAAGCTTCTGGATGTTTCCAGGTCTTTAAAATTTTTTAAAATATTCTAGAAGTTTCAAGAATTTTCCAGAACTTTATAGAACCTTCTAGAAACTTCCAAAACTTTATAGAACTTTCAAAATTAAAAATCTGATTTGTTTAGTATCGAAAATAGCTTTGCATAAGAAAACATTCACAAAATTGTTATTTTTAATTTGCAAATAAAATAATCTTTTGTTTATAAAACTGTTGATTAAGCTAAAGTTCCATATTAAAAGAGGCAAGGAATAGGGTTGTGCCCCTAGCCTTTCTTACTATTGTATAAAAATAAAGAAAAAAGAAAGCATATAGTAATTTTACAAATAATAAAAATTTAGAGTTTCTTGAGTGTTACCTTTGTGCAGCAGCACCTATAACACTAGCAGCTTTCTGCAACAACTGCTCAGTAGACTGATTTAACAGTTGAACAACTATTTCCAAACCACCAACTTTTTCTAAATCACGACCATTGTCGATTTGATGTGCATAATACTCTAAGTTATCTAAAGCTGCTACCTTTTCATCAACAGACAAAGATAAGTTCTGGAGCAATTTTATAGACTCTTGCATGATTTGAAGATCTGATTTAACATTCCAATTAAATGATTGTTCTAAGTCTGCTCTGATCTCTTCAATACTCCGAAATTTTATTTTCGAATCTAATGATGGAATTATAAAAATTATATATAATCTCAAATAAAATTGTAAATAAAAATCAAACTAAACTTGTTTATGCTATTACATTTTCAAATTGAAAATCTCAATCCTGCATTTTGAAAAAATGCAGGATGAAAAGATGCAGGATTGAGATTATAATTTTAATCAAGATCTCAACCATAAATCTTCAAACAAGATGAAGTTGATTTAAATATGTTTAACACAATCAAAAGTATTAAAAATTTACTTTAAAATTACTACATTAATAATTTTAATATAAAAAGCAAAAAAAATCTGAAATATTCAGAATCTAATAAAAATGTAATAAAGGGCCATATAACTCATTGTAAAAACAGTAATGCAGGGTATTAGCCAGAAATAATTTTTTTTTTGCGTTTTTGCAATATTGGGAATATTGATTGTTAGGGAAGATTGGTTAAACTTCTGACAGTTTTTACTCAAATTGTGCTTATTTAATAACTATCGCATTTTTTCAAAATAGGATGTTTTTTTGTCAAACTAGAATGATTAAAGTATCTTTTAACATTTTAAATGTTTAAAAACTATTTAGAAAATGCTAGTCAAGTGCCCGAAGTCACCCTGCATGTGGGTTGACTTTGGATATGTAAGGGGATATTATGGACATAAAATAAATAAACATTCAATTTCAACAATAATAGTTTATTTTTTATTTTTAAATTTTTGCAATTGGTATTCAAAAAAAATTGAGCAAAAAATAAATTGAGTTTCTGGTCGATCCATCACATAATTAAGTAATTAATAAATTATTATTAATTAATAATTATTAGTAATAAATATTTTTAGGAGTAGCAGTTCTATTCCAAACTTGGAGGAAAATTTATAGAATATCATAAATGCTAACAGTTTGACCAGGGTGTGAGTACTTTTTGTTAGAACTTTTTGTTTACTAAAACAACTATTACTCTTTAGTTCAGCACTATGGTTTTTATATACATTCACTCAAGAAATTCTTCATAAGAAATTAATTTACAAAGGAATTATACTGTTGGAATTGTTAATGATTGTGCAAATAGAAATTTACAAACGCCTATTAACTGTACATAGATGATTAAATGTCCTCCGGGGAACTCTGCAGTATACAGAGTGCCATTGGGTTGGTTAACACCCTGAAATGTTGTATAAAGCATAGTCATAATATAAGATAGTCTGGCCAGTTAGGCCGTTTTCACAATATTCTATTGTTTTTAAACAATAAAAGTTAAAACTTTGAATTTATGTTGAAAATCGTTTATTTATCGTGCCCAGACTACCAATAAGTGCACAAAAATCTAAAATATGGCAAACTCAACAGATAAACAGTGTTTCGATTATTTCATATTAAATCTAGAATCAGATATATTTTTTTGTAAACTCAAGTTTATCAATAATTTCAGTTATTTTCTCATTAAAATTTGGAGTAAAAATGCTTTAACCAAATTTTTTTTCACCAGTGTATGATAAAATAAGTATGATAAAGTCGGAGCATAAATTCAAACGCTACATAACAAAGCTGCATTCAAATAGTTTCTCTTTAACACAGCAAATTAAAACACAAACTGATATTAAGCAGACTTGTTCTACAAATAAGTTCATGAATTTTGTTTAAA